ACTCTTTCCTGCCTATCCAGGGGGTCGGACTCGATGATCTATTGAGGTCTCTTCTGACCCTAACATCTATGAATCTATGAACAGCAGGGAGCATTTCACATTTCTTTCCTCTTCAAACAGCAAGTGCACACATCTTGGCTGTTCTATTCCTTACAGGTTCTTATGGTCATTACAAGATTATCAGTGCTTCCCTTTCGAGCAGCTTAAGTGACAAGATCAACAACCATCATGTGGGATTCATTCTTGTCCTCTCACCATGGGCAGAAGTGTGTAAAGTGGAGTAACTTGTTCTATAGGAACGTTTAGCGTACAGTACTGGAGGAGGCTAGGTCAAGCAAATACGGTTTGCACTGGGAGCGAGCTCAATACCACAAACAAGTCCTGGAGAGACTAGGATGAGGATGGAATCTGAAAGCAGTACTCCAATGAAGAAAAACAGCCTAGAGAACACAAAAGGTAGCTTCCCCATATTCTGGCCACTAGCAATGCAGAGCTGCACCTCTGGAAATCCCAGAAACTCTCCATTACATGGTTCAAGGGGTCTGTGTAAAAAGTGTCTCAGCTCATCATTCTCAGGGCACCTGGTGCACCTCAGCTTCACCCGTCTCAGACAGGAGCAGCTAAACATGGTACCAGTGAAATGCCATAGGAGCCCAAGGCGTAACACTCCGAGCACAGAGCAAAGTGGTAGTTTTTCCCCACAGCTTCACATGCTGAAGATGACAACTCCAGCTGGCTGGCCCACACCTTTCTGATGCACTGGGGACAGAGCACAGCTGGCAGAGGTACGAAAGAAGAGTGTACCTACCACGTAGAAGTCCAGACCATAGATGCCAATGCTCGGGTCATATTTAATTCCCAGGTCAATGTGTTCCTGGATCCCAAAGCCAAAGTTTCCGGTGTCAGAAAAGTTGTTTTTCCTCAACTCATATTCTCGCACCTGGAACACAAGTACAGCGGGTCAGTTAGCTTCCTTGCTAGAGTTCTGCTTCTTTTGCCGAATCACAGAAAAATTAAGGTTGGAACGGACCTCCAGAGGTCCCATCTAGTCCAACCTCTGCTCAAAGCAGGGCCGTCCCCAACTAGATCACCCCAGCCAAAGCTTTGTCTAGCCGGGTTTTGAAAATATCTGAGGATGGAGCTTCTACCACCTCTCTAAACAGATACAGGATCCTCTTAAACAACCGTGTTCTCTTGGGAAACACGTGAGAGTACTTTTCTAGCACAGTAACCTGTTCGGAGGCCACAGCACCGAAGACAGTACCAAGAGTCATGAGCTGAATAAGATTCTGAATGACTACCAAGCACTCAGCACCTTCCAGGGCATAGCAGTCCTATCAGGCAACCTGATCACTAGAGTCAGGAAAAGGCATTTTACACAAATTGCAGGAATAAGTCAGTCACAAAAGCAGCAGAGACCCAAGATACATTTCAGCAGCTGTTCGCACGGACACTACAGGGCTCAGACAGATGCTCTGAAAGTCATTAAAACAGCCAAAACTCTAACAAACCAAGCAATCCTGACGGACGTGACATTTCATCCGTGGACTTCAAACCCATTCAGGCCTTGGGCATAAGTCGGCTAACTTGGAAGCTTACTACGGTGTCCCCTAAAAAGGTACAAGTACTGTCAAATGCGCAGCCTGCTTTGTATACACAAACCCGACTCCACTAAGTCTCCTTTGGTCACTGACGCTGTAGCTTCCAGCTACAACGTACACACTATTTTCAGGCTCAGGCTTTAAAGAACTGACATAACAGCTGGAGAAGCCAGCTACTCACCTTCAGTCCTTTCTCCAGAATCTCTTCTGCTTTGGCACCACGAACTGTGCAGTGGACAGCAATCTTCTCATTTCTCCTGATGCCGAAGGATCTGACAGTATATCGTGCTGCAAGCAACACACAGAGTCACAGGGTTATTGCAAGACTTGCACGTTCTCGTCCGAGGGACATTGCGCTTTAGAAAGACCAGGGCACAGAAGCTGCAGCTCGGATGCATTCTGGGAGGGGAGCAAGGCTGCAGCCCAAGTTGCAATTTGAGAACAAATAAGTTGCCCGCGTTGATCAAAACAGGGCAGGTGACCAGCACGGAAGACAGAAGCCTCCGTCACACACCTGGGACAGCGCAGGCATCGAACACAGACGTCTCTATAGCAACCGCCCCCCCACGTTCCTCTCTGCCCCACACCAGCCATTTGCATGAATCCGAGACCAGCCTTGCAAACCAGGTGATCAGAAATAATTCTTTCAATCGCCATCAGAAGCCAAGTCGCGACACCCCCTCTCTTCCACCCAACGCCACCTCCTCGCACCCAACCACCGAGCTTCGCCCCCTCCAACACCGACGTACCCTTGGAGAAGACGGGGGTCTGTCCGGTGAGCTGCTCCAGCACTTTGGCTGCCCGAGTGAGTCTGTCGCCACTTTCCCCGACGCAGATGTTGAGGCAGAGCTTGCGGATGCGCAGCTCGCGCATGGGGTTCTCCTTCTCACTCTGGTCCTGCTGCTAAGATCAACCGTGCCGCGTCAGCACAGGAGCCCGCCCCGGTGGGTGCCGTCACGGAGAGTCCCCAGGCCGCCGGGCGCAGCTACGAGCAGCTCTCCAGCACCCGGAGGCGCGGTGCTGCCGTTTGCTCCACGCGACGGTCTGGGTCTGCTCCGCACCCCCCACCCCGGGGCTCCCCACTGCTTCAGCCCAAAGGGAGGAGGCTGCACCAGCCCCAGGACCCCCCCGTGCCCATGCAGCACCCGTCCTGCCCCCGCCCAGGGGCTGAGCCCAGGGCTCAAAGCCACCAGGGATGCGGGCAGGGCGAGGCCGGGCAACCGGGAGCCCCGGGAAGGGAGGGAGTGACAGGGCCGCAGCGCCCAGCTGTGCGGCGGGGACGGAGCCACCAG